AGACGTCATATGCAGGTGTATGTCCTCTTTATTTAACTCAGTCTTATGACCTGACCTGGCATGACCTCTACATTGTTCTTTCCTCTACTCTATCCCCTAAGGAGGAGAGAGTTTAAGCTTAATGCCCAAGCACATGGCAATGAAATCCATAGACCACTGCCCAGCCAGTAGGGGACAGTCGACATCCCTAGAACAGACCCATTATGGGATTGTCAAGTAGGAACTCCTGAGGGCACTTTACTCTTCAATATGCATTTTATCTCCCAGCCCGAGTCTGAGATCAGGCGCAAGCTCCAAAAATTAGATGAAGGCCCTCAAACCCCACAAAAGGATCTCCTAAACCTGGCCTTCAAGGTCTTTAATAACCAAGATGGGGAGAGGCGAAGGAAAAAGAGAGTGGGACTGACAACAGCTCCCTCCCCCCCCCAAAAAAAAAACAGAAAAAGCTTTTCAAATAGTGGCTGTCCCTGCAAAGAGCTTTTGCAGAGAGTTACCCCAAAAGGCCCCAGGCAAGCAGCCGACAAGGCCACACCCTTCTACGGGAACTGAGGTGGGTTTCCACTACAACTCTGGGTCTCTAGAGTAAAAATGCCCCAGGAAATGGGCTCTGCCAGGACAGTGCCCCCTCTGACAAAAGAAAGGGCACTGGAAGAGTGCCCTTTTCCTAAAACAGGAGATCGCACCTGCATTCCGGACCTGGCTGCCCCACCCTGAATGGGCATCCTCCATCCCCACGGACCCTCTGAAACCGCTGTGGTCTGACAGCGTCAGGCAAACAGACTGCACTTCCACACACTGGGATGGCCGAGCCTTAGGCAACTCCCTGGCACGGGTAAGAACTAATGCAGGAGCCACGTCCTCTACTCTTCCTGAGTTTTCAGGGCCTCTATTTCCCTCTCCAGGCCCCTAGTCAGAATAAAAGATAAAATACAAACCCCCGGTGTGTTCCACAGCTTCCCTCTCCGCCGGGAGATAAAGTATTTGTCTGCCCCTTTTGTGCTTCCCAATTACCCCCATTGGGAAAAGATCTTATGGCTTCCTTCCTTAGACTTATGGGAAAAACTTCACTAGAACTTTGCATACAATGTTTTCCTTGATATGCTGAGCTTTTTAAACTACAGAACTTTGTCTTGTTTCACCTAAAAATTATCTCCTTCTGTACGTATATGTTTTTGTGTCCACATATCATGTATGTTTCCCTACCAAAATATGTAAAAGCGCTCTAATTAATTGGCTTACATCAAATGTTTCGTTAAAAACAAAATAGAAAGTAACCTGAGTAAGAGAAAGATGTAAAAAGGCAGTAAGTGTGGAAATATATTTTGGTAAGAAAGGATCTTGTGAATTTTTTGTCCTAAAATGACTGGTTTGGTCCAGGTTGTCACCTGTCACCCGCTCTAACTGACCCCAGTTGTTTGGCCACGAAAGAGAAAGGACAAAACAAAGTTTTAGGCATGTTTTTGCAGATGGTCTGTACAAGTTGGGATAAAGGTTATAAAGGACATTTATGAAGGAATTTAGTAGGTGATCCAGTTGGCTATAATTGGAAAGAAAATTTTAGTAATGACTTTTTATTTAAAACATTAATTCTCTTGCTTTACTTTCAAAAGCCATTGAAGTAGTATTAGGTAAACAGCAAAGCTATCTCCAGGATTTAAACTATTAAATTCCACCTCGCCCAACCTTATTTATCCTCTCTAGACCTGAGGGCTATTGCAAAAGAGACAGGTGTATAAAATGTAAACCCGATTTCAAGAGATAAAATTAGTAAGTTCGGTTTGGTTCCCTTGTCTTTCTCCACCACCCGCACCTAGCGCCTACCTGCCAGCAATGGAACTCACTGGACGGCTTCTTAAAGGGACTGCGGGACTTACAGCCTAAAAACTAGATTTGACTCGAGGAGTAAGTTCCCAGAACAAATCGGGCCTCCTTCAACTTTGAAATAATTCTCTCACTGCTTCCACCACTACAGCTAAGCTCCTGGAAATCTCGTCTGAGAGTCATCCCTCCAAACTCTAACCCACAGGCCCCCCAGAACCTGCTTCCACCCATGGTGAGCTCCCTAAAAGTCCAGCCTATCATGGATACCAGGCTCTGATAATATGCCATGGTATAGACGGCTCCTTATTTGCTGCTTCTGTATACTTCTCGTGTCTCTCCAGAGAAATCCCATCCTGCCTCTATTCTAACTTCAAAACCGCCCATTTTCAACCCCCTCCCATTTAATAATTTACATAAACTCCATAAAAAGATCTCTATGCCCCTTCTTAGTTGGAAGTAGCTACAGAAGGACCTCTGCTCACTTTCCCAACTTCTGAGTTCATTTTATTTTATTTATTTATTTATTTTATTTTTTTGAGACAGAGTCTCACTTTGTTGCCCAGGCTAGAGTGAGTGCTGTGGCGTCAGCCTAGCTCACAGCAACCTCAACTCCTGGCTCAAGCGATCCTCCTGCCTCAGCTCCCAAGTAGCTGGGACTACGGCATGTGCACCATGCCCAGCTAATTTTTCTATATATTAGTTGGCCAATTAATTTCTTTCTATATTATAGTAGAGACGGGGTCTACTCTTGTCCAGGCTGGTTTCAATCCCTGACCTCGAGCAATCCACCTGCCTCAGCCTTCCAGATGCTAGGATTACAGGGTGAGGCCACATGCCGCTGTAAGTTCATTTTAAATAGAATTTAATTTTACACATGAAAGGGGAATGTTAGGGCGGCCTTGAATCTCCTAACTTTCTAACAACAGCTACAGATCAATCTTGAGCTCTCCCTCCTCTCTTGGCTGCTTCTCCCCCAAACTAGCAGCAACCTACTGGGAAAGACAAGGACACCTGCTTCCAATCTATTTTTAATTTTTTCCCCTTTCGCATACCTTGACCTTCCTTTTCTTACATGTATACAATAAAAAGAGTGAAATGTTAGATTTAAAGAATTCACCCTCCCCAAACTTCCATCCAAACCTTCTGTAGAACCCACACCCACTCCCCTTCCCAAGTGTGTATTAGGCAGTAGCCTTTGCCAGACCCCTAGGGAGATACAGGCATGAAATGCAAAAGGGGAACTAACTTACTTTCCTTGTTGTTTGAAAAGAATTTATTTATTCCCCCCAGAAAAACCCTGTATAAAACCCAAGGCTCTCCCCTTTTCTCTGGATGGCTTTTTCCGCCTCCACCCACCTGCACCCAGATGCTCAAAATAAACAGCATTTTGCTACACTTGAGGTTGTGTGTGTCTCTCTGCTCCCGACCTAACAAACACCTTTGGTGATTTCATCGGCACTGGCTCTCCAGGATTCTTCGCTGCTGGCGTAAACAAGCTGCCGTTAAGATGGCAAAACCCTGTTGATAGTTTAGGTGCAACTTTAATTGTACTGCTTCTTGTTTGAGATATAATAAACTACACTTTGATTCAAAATTGGACATTCTCTATTTAATGACCTAATAGAAACAAAGGGACACTTGGGCCAGACTCTATTTCTCCTGCTCAGTTCAGAATGGAGACAGAGGAGGAAACAGATGGAGAAGGAGGTGAGGAGGAAAATTAGCATTTACTGAGCGTTGTCTGCTGCCTAAACTACCTGGGCTAGGCACCTTAAATACGCTTTCTCCTTTAATCTTTGACAGCTTTGCTCTGAGGTAGGCATTTTTATTATTCCCATTTTATAGATGAGGAAAGAACAAACAGAAGTTAAGCAACATGATCAAATCATAAAGCAAGGAGAGTGGCCGAGTAGGGCGCTGCACCCAGGCCTTCTGACCCAGCTCTCCCATCTCTCTTGCTGGGCCCCCAGACTGAGCCCTTAGTGGCCACGAGGAAAGCACTGCCTCCTCGGGATCCTGGCTGCTGCCTTCTTCCTCCCACTCCTACACCGGGCCCCAAACCCAGCCAGGGCACCTCCCAGGCCTCCCCCTCAGCTCCCCGGCTTCTCTGGGTCTGGCTGTGGGGAGAGGGGAGAGCCCCCAAGCCTCTGGTCTTTTATTCCATCGCTTATTGAAATCACTTGAGGAGCTTGAACTATGACTGATGCTCAGATCCCACCCTCAGAGATTCTGACTTGATAAGCATGGGGTGCAGCCTTGGCGTGGAAACTCCCCAGCTGATCCTAATGTGCAAAAAACCTTAAGAACCTCTGTTCTTTCTGTTTCCAAGTGTAGTTGGCACCAGTGCCAATGACGCCACCTGGTTTTGTTAGAAATGAGGAATCTCTGATCTGCTGAATCAGAAACTTTGGGGTGGGTGGATGGGGTAAGGAAGCCAGTATTTTTTTTTTTTTTTTAAGAGATGGGGTCTTTCTATCTTGCCCAGATTGCTGTCAAACTCCTGGACTGAAGTGATGCTCCTGTCTGAGCCTTCCGAGCAGCTGAGGCTACAGGTGCATGCCACAGCACCCAGCGGGGAGCCAGCAATTTAATAAGCCTTCTCCATGATTCTGATGCACCCTAAAGTTTGAGAATCATTGTTCAAAGCAACACGCTAGAGACAGATCATGTGCCATGCTTTGTTTGTCCGCTATCACATAGCTGCTATATTGATTGCAAAATAAGAGAAATTTAATGGCCCCAGAGAATGAGAATATTCAGTCCTTTCTCCCAAGAACAAAACTTTGAGGTATGTAAGAAAGTATTTAGGCTGGGCGAGGTGGCTCACGCCTGTAATCCTAGCACTCTGGGAGGCCGAGGCGGGCGGATTGCTCGAGGTCGGAACCAGCCTGAGCGAGACCCCGTCTCTACTAAAAATAGAAAGAAATTAATTGACCAACTAAAAGTATATATACAAAAAATTAGCCGGGCATGGTGGTGCATGCCTGTAGTCCCAGCTACTTGGGAGGCTGAGGCAGGAGGATCGCTTGAGCCCAGGAGTTTGAGGTTGCTGTGAGCTAGGCTGACGCCACGGCACTCACTCTAGCCTGGGCAACAAAAGTGAGACTCTGTCTCAAAAAAAAAAAAAAGAAAGTATTTAAATGGAATTTGGAATCAACTGGAACTCTTCTGAGAAGGAAAGCAGCATTATCAAAATATGGTGATGCTACTGAGCAACCGTGTACCACAAGCTTCCAAAAGAAGCCTCAACACTGAGGGTGAGAATATAGCCCCCAGACCAGCCACCCCACCTGCCAGGGCTTCTCAGCTTCGAGGGTGTATGCATTCCCTAGGGCTGCTGTGACAAATGACCACAAACTTAGTGGCTTGAAACAGCAGAAATTTATTCTCTCCCAGTTCTGGAGTACAGGAGTCTGAAATCAAGGTGTCCTTCCAGAGGGTCTGAGGGAGAATATCACTGCCAGGCCTCTCTCCTACCTTCTCATGGCTGGTGGCACCCCTTGGTGTCCCTGAGCTTATAAAAGTATTACTGCAATCTCTGCCTCCATCTGCACATGGCCTTCCCCTCTGTGTCTCAAGCCTCCCTCTCCTTTCTCTTGTTAGGACACCAGTCACTGGATTTAGGGCCCACTGTAAATCCACGATGATCTCATTTTGAAATCCTTAATTACATCTGCAAAGACCCTATTTCCAACTGAGGTCACACTCACAAGTCCTAACTGGGGTTTAGGACTCGCACATATCTTTCGGGGGGGAATGCAAGTCAGCCCCCTACAGATGGGAAATAAATTTCACTTTCGTCAGCTGCCTTCCCTAATGCTGACTCTGAGCAGAGGAATTACTGCTGGTAACTCCATTTCCCTCGGGGCAAAGGCAGGTGGGCCTGGAGTACAGCCCTGAGGACTGTCTGCCACAACACGGGGATGCTTCTGCACGAGACAGGAGGCTGGTACGGAGATGGGCAGATGAAGGAGGGAACAAACCTTTTTTGAGTACTCACCTTGATGAGTCAGACCATGTGCTGTACGCTAACTCACTGACCTCGTTAATCCAGTAAAACAGGCGCAGGATTACTCTAACTTTACGGGTGGAAAAATGGAGGCTCAGAATGATTCAGGGCCATGAGGTCACGCAGCTATGAGGTAGAGGTCAGAGTCCAGCCTGTGCCTTTTGCATTATGCTATAATAGTCAGCTTGATCTATTATCCCTTTGGTCACTCCCAAATTTGCCGCTTCTCTTCTGTTTTTACTAGCACTGCCTTCATGCAGACCTTTGGCATCTCTCTGTGTCTACCCTTTTCTGGTCCCATTTTCCAGTGTCCAGCTGCTTTATATTTTTTGAACATCCACGATAGTGCCTGTCTGGCCTGGATAGACACTTAGCATATTTTGTTAATGAAATGATCTGGGCTCAGCTAGAAATTTATTTTCTAGCATCTAAATATGATTTTTATTTTTTGAGTTAGGGTCCCATTCTGTCAGCCAGGCTGAAGTACAATGGTCTGATCATAGCTCACTATAACCTCAAACTCCTGTGCTCAAACAATCCTGTCTCAGCCTCCCAAATTGCTGGGATTACAGGGGTGCACCACCACGCCCAGCCTAAATATGGTTTTTGATTAGGCTAAGTGTCACCTGCTGCTCTCTGCCTTGTAAGGATGGGAAGTAGTAAAATCATACCAGATATATGCTAGGTTAATGACACAGTAGATTTTCTTACTATCCTCGGTAATGAAGGATGAAAATAGAATTACACGGGGAGTTCATAGCTAATCTACAAAGCTTACCATGCTAATAGCTTTAATCTTCTTCCCTGACAAGTCTGCAGCCAGTTGTGTTTCTCTACCACTATACAACTACAGGGAGGACCAAAAGTCCCAGGTGTTAATTATCTACTCATTAAACCCTCCAGCTGAGGCAGGAGTTTGTAAAAGTCACAAATCAGAGGAATCACTGAATTCTCAGGTGGCATGGATGAAAAAAGTGAAGTAACTAAAGCTTAACCTGATCCAGGAATGCACACCCTGAGAGGTACATTTCAGAGGAGAAGGTGGATTTTATAGGGTAGAGTTCCATATGCTTATCTGATGTAGCATATAGGGAAGTGTGCAAGTTCATACCATACATATTTCCTTCACCAACCTGGGTTTAGATCGAAAGAGTATAGTGTTAGAAGGTCCCAGTGAAATGTAACTATTTTGCACAAGTGACCATTTTCCAATTATCAGACATGAAGGCCACACTTGATTCTTCTTCTCTGCCACAAGAGTGTTGTTGCCAGAGGTCCATCAGGTTCCCACACTCCCACTAAGCAATTAAAAATATTTTGATGAATGTGCCTATTTGTTCAATATATTCATTATCATCTGGCTTACCTGTCATACCACACAGCAAAGCTGTAATGTTATATAAAAATATCATCAGATAACAAGGGTGGCTAGACACAGTATTTAAAATTCCTTCTAAGAGCAAATCAATGCAACTTCTTTGTAGTATCATTTGAAAATATCAGTTAAAACTTAAAATCCAAATATTCTTTTACCTAGTAACTCCACTTCTAGGATTTTTTCTCATAAATAATAACAATAACAACAACAAAACCAAGCCAAAACAAAAATATACATACATGTGTGCAAATATTTATTTCAGCATTATTTGTAGAGCTTAAGACTAGATACGATTGAAATATTTTTTACTGGATGATAGCTACATAAATTCTAATACATGCAAACAATGAAATCCTATGAAGTCATGAGAAAGAATGAGGTAAATTTTTATGTGATAATATGAAATGTCCTACAAGATATGATAAGTGAAAAAAATAAAGGTTCAGAGGAATGGTTTAGGGTGTGTAGAATATGTAGTGTATCATATTCTTCCTCATATATAAAAAGGATATTGAAACATCCATTCATTTATTCAAGCTAAATTACAAGTAAGTACCTCTTCTCCATGCATTTACTTGCTATTGAATTTATTATAGCTCTCTGAAGACCATTATGTAATTTAACTTATTCTAAGAAGCTACGGTTCCATCATCTCTGAATTACAATGAGAAAGAAAGAGGGATTTAAAAACTAGGTGCCCTACCATAACCTAAAGAAAAAAAATGGAAATAGCTTTGCTACCATTGCATGTCTTCATTGTTCTCCTCACTGAAATACAGTGCTCCCTTTAAGCTGGTGTTAGTTCCTGGAGGCAAGTAACTTTTTAAAAAATCCGTAATACTGAGGCTGGCCCTGGCTCCTATGCCATTATGGACTGAAGAGCAGAGCTGGGTCCTAATTTTTTCAGCACATAATGTAAGGAATAAACACTGGAGATTAGAAAATAAAAGAGCCTACCTATGTTTCTGAGGAATTTCCAGCCCCACAGTATGGTAGAGGCAGACTAGGCTGTCGGGGACCATGAGGATTCAGCTCCATACACGTAACTGCGGGACAGTGATGTGATGAAAATCACACTTTCATGAAACATGTCTAATAGCTCTTAGTCTCACAGGTTTGGTACCTTGACTGGCAAGGCAGTGGAGCATAGCAGATAAAAGGATGGCTCTGAAGCCAGACTTGGAGATTTGGGCCTGATGCTGTCATTTACTTGCTATTTGACCTTGAATAAGCTACTCTCTGGTTTTGGTTTTCTCAACTGTAAAATGGGAATAAATCTAGGACTTATCTCCTAAGGTTGTTGTGAAGACTAAATAAATAAATATAAGTAAAATACTTACCAAGTACTTAACCAATGCTAGACATTACAGCATACTTAAACGTTAATCTATTTCAGAAAGAGAAAACAGGCATAATTCTGCACCACAAGGATTAAAAGCTTCAAGAGCCTCACTACTCCTCCGCTCTCCAAGCCCTTTCAGGCCATGAGTTAAAATAACTGACAAAGTCTTTGTCTCTTAAGTTCTACAGAGCAGTTTCTCAGAAGCAATGCTGTCTACTGCAATGCAAATTAACTTAACCTGTTCATTTTATCTCGAAATCATTTCTGAATCCCACAGTCATTATTTTCAAACCCAGACTTGCCTTTGCACTTAATTATTAGTTCTTCTTTCAGGAGTTGGGAATGTGGCACTTTCATTCATTTACACAAAGTTTAGGTGCCACTGTGGCAGCAGCAGGTGGTGGCGGTGCCTGAAAAAACAACAGAGCGCTTGGTTGGTGGGTTAGGATCGCCCATCTGCTGCTGCATGAATGAGAGGCCATCTCAGCGGAGTTTCTAGGCTAACAGCATGGCAATTTCCCTACCGCCCAGGCATGATATGGGATTCTAGAAAAGGAGGTAGTGTGGGATCCCGAGCAAGCCCTCACTTGTTTGGACCTCAGTTTCGTCATCTCTAAAACAAAGGGATTGAATTAAATGGCCTATTTTGTTCCTTCCAATTCTAATGACTCTAAGTGGATATGAACCCTGTCTCAGGAAGCTGGGCTGTTTAGTGTACTATGCTGAGACAGTTACCCCGACCCCAACCTTGCCACCACACACCTAAACACACAGAACCAGTGAAATAAGAACAGCTCCCATTTATTGAGTGCTAAGTGCTGAGTACTTTATATACCTCATTGCACTTAATCCTCACAACAAGTCTGGGAGGTAGCTATTAATTTTTCAGATGCTCAGAGAGGTTAAGTTGAAGGCCCAAGAGGGGTGGCCTCACTGCTTCTTTGTAAGAGAGAAACCCGGGCTGGATTATTAAAGTCCCTTCTAGCTTTATATCATCCTATAAATCTAGACCCATTCCATTCTCAAGCCATCCGAGTCAGCCTAGCTGTGCGTCCTCCTGGCACACAAGGTGTGGATTCCAATATCATCCTTGGATTCTACTTTTCAAATTTGTTTTAGCCATGCTGGTTGTAGGAAGCAGCACCCAAGGAGTTCCCCTAGAGCCCTGACTTGCTTCCAAACCTCCCCCTTCCTCTCAGAAAGTCAGACCCCACCGCAGTTTCTCTCAGGAGAGAGACTGAGCGGGTTCCCCTCTTTTCAACTTGCCTCAGGCCGCTGGGCAAGGCTGAGCCAGAGCAGCGTGATGCGACCCCACTTTCGGTCTGGTTTCAAAGCACATATTTAAGTCTCTCATTCTACTGCAGCCGCACATTTTCCGAGTTTTTATCTCCCTTCCCGGCCTTAAGCATTTCACTCTACTCAAATCTCTCTCTCTCTCTCTCACACACACACACACACACACTCTCATATTCTCATTCATTCTCTCTGAAGATATTTCCTGGTTCAGAATAAATACATCAAAATTAAGGCAGTTCCCTGTGACAAGAACGCCCATATAAAAGAAGTGAAAGCCTGAGTTCTTAAAACTGCAGTCATTCAGGGACGTCTTTGGAACCATCCTCCTCTTTACAGGGCTGAGGGCTGTAATAAATAGAACTCATCAGAGCCTCAGACGTACTCAGAATAAGAAATGCACACATTTATTATGAGCAGCTGCATTCGTCTGAGTTCCTGGAGGGATGTGGGAGAAGACTGGCATCCATTCACCGCTCTGGAAAGGCTGTGCCAACAGCACCAAAAGGAGCAGGTTCATTTTCAGCGCCACGGGCAACGCCCACCAGGCATCGTGTCCACCAGGCTGGACCTGCTTCCCTGCCTGGGGCGTCAGCCACCAGGTGGCCGGCAGGGCGGGGCTGTGTGGGGACTCCCAGCAGACCAGCCAAGGGCGGCTCAGTCTGGGCTAGACCTTCCTGGGCAGCCTGCAGCCCTCTCCTTAACCCCTCAGGGAGAAGGACACCGTGGCCCCATGAGCCACCGCCATTGGTGGAGGCCGCCTCCCCACAGGAAGGAAGTGCCCAGGCCTCCTTCCCTTAAGGAGAATAATCCTTCCCTTGGGAAGAGGAAGACACCACTTTACTTCCTGTTGGACTTTCACTTCCAGTGAGGCCTCTGGATGGTATTGTGAAAATACAAATATAGAACAATCAGTTAAATTTGAATTTCAAACAACAAATACTGTTTCAACATAAATATGTACCCAACACCGAATGGGGCATTCTTACACTAAAGTATTACTATTTATCTGAAATTTAAATATAACTGAGCATTTGGCAATTCTACCCCCTTGCAGTCTTCTCTCTTGCCACGCCTTCCCAGATGGGAGGTTATTCCATGTGTTCTCAAGCAGAAATGTGATCGGTTTTGGATTCTCCTGGGATTCCTGGTGAAAAGACAAAGATCCCAGGCCACATCTGCTGAATAATACCTCTCAGGGTGGAGCCAGAATACACATTTCATTGAGTTGTTATCTAAGTGATTCTGATACTTGCATGTATTAGTTATCTATTGACTCTGAACAAATTACTGTAAAAATAGAGGCTGAAAACCATCAACATTTATCATCTAATAATTTGTATGGGTGAGGAATTTGGGACTGACTTAGCTTTATAACTCTGGCTCATGGTCTTTCATGACACTGCAATCAGGTGTGTGTCTGGGCTGCAGTCATCTCAAGAGGGCTCTGGTGCTAGAGAATCTGCTTCCAAGCTCACTCACATGGCCCTTGGCAGGCCTTGGGCCCTTGCTGGTTATTGGCTGGAAGCATCAGCTCTTCACCATGTGGACCTCTCTGTTGGGCTGCTCATGACATGGTATTTGGCTTTTCCCAGAATTAGGGATGAAATGGAGAGAGAGAAAGAGAGGACGCATAAGCACAAACGCACAAAAGTGAACCCTCAAGAGGATTACACAAGAGCAGGAATACCAAGAGACAGGAATCACTGAGGGCCAGCTGAGAGGCTGTCAACCACAATATTTAAGTTTGAGAATTGCGGCATTACTGCTACGGATCAGTCCTCAACACACTGCCACCAAAACCATGTTTTTAAGATGGGATCCAATGTTACTTTCTTTCTCTATTTTTCTGCTTCCATCCCTACTTCTCATCTACCCTTTTGTGATCTGAAACAATAACAATGAGGAACTATAAAAAAATGAAGAAGAAAACAAAATCCAAATGACAATCTTGGAGAATAGCAAAATGTTAAATTAAAAAATGGTTACATATATTATTTGGGTAGAAGGAAATGATATGCAAATCCCATGCACATATAGCTTTGTCCTCCTAAAAATTTCTTAGCACTCAATGTGGCTCTTGGAGAATCTCTTATGAAGACTGATGGAAATATGTAAGTAGGGTGTCCAACCGTCTCAATTTGCCCAGGATTCTCCCACCTCCTGGGCAAAACAAGATGGTTGGTCACCTTCATAAGAAGGAGCCAATATGAAATCGTAGCATCTACTCCACCCCTACCTAGAGACTAAGTGAGTCCACCTTGTGATGGAGAGGATGGGAAAGCCCACCAATATGTGCCCTTAGCTGCAGCCTTAGCTTTCTCATCTAGAAGCCAAGGACTATAAATCTGCTTTAGTAAGGCTTAAATATAATGATACACATGTGAATGCCTTGTAAACTGAAAGGTGCCATATAGATTTTGAAAAGAAAAGCCACTCCCATCATGAAAGGTGGAACCCAAAATGTCACCCCTTTGCATTTTTGCAGCCAAGTCTGACATTTTCTCTTTCAAGTAGGCTAGCCATGCTAACCTCCTGGAAAGGTGAACACAGCCCATAAAAGCCATATTACATAAGTTTAATTCTCATTTTAATTTGAAATTTAACCTCAAATTGATTTGCACAGTTCCCTCCAGAAAAAGCTAACCTCCCAAAAAGGACAGTCATCTCTATTATATCCTCAGTGACAAGTTTCCCAGGAAATCTGTGCAAAGTCCTGATATAAAAGACATGATTCATTCTTCACAGCTCTGATGGTGCGACTCCCTCCTCTCAGGGAGAGAACCGTGCCTAGTGGCGTTCCTTCCCTCACCCTCCTCCACTTCCATCCCTCAAGGTTTGGGGGACTTTTTATTGGTGAGAAAGGCAGTAATCTTTAAACTGTGTTAAAATTCTCATTTCCTCTCTCTTTTTTTTCTTTTGCCTTCACCAAAGTTCTGGGCAGGTCTGCATACTTGTATGACCCAAAGTCTCCAATTCAAAGTAGGCAATGCCATTTTGAACTGTTTTTCTTTGAGGTGTACATTAGCAAGAATTGCCATAATTTGCTTTTTGACCATCATTCTCCTCCACCCACCCCCGTGCCCTGCTACTGTGCAGCTATATGACCTTGGACCTCTCTGAGTCTCAATGAGGGAGAATGACATCTGGCTGTCCTATGGCATAGAGGGGTTGTAAAGATCAAATCAACTAACATTAATATAAATGAAAACCTTTAAAAACCTTAGACTGCCACATAAATACAAAGTGGTTGGTTTATTTATTAGAGTCCTTTCTTTGACCTGTTTCGGATGTCTGCCCAGCTGAGTATTCTGATAGTAGTATTATTTGCACTGGTTACTAGGTGAGAATTTCTGCTACTGACCTTAGCAAGCTTACCTAATAATTCCAATAATTTTAATACTTTCGCAAAAACTGTTGCCTCATGATTTCTGTTTTATAGTTTTAACATTTAAGAGGCTAATTTTTGCCCCTGAACTTTAGACACACTGCCACCAAGACTGGTTTCCAATTCTGTATGGTGATATTTCAGTTTACACAGAATTTAGCTTTTAGTTTTATACCATTTCTATGTAAATATGGAGTGTTTTAAAATTTAGTTTTTGAAATCAGCAGTTCTACCTCAATAAAATTGATTTTTTAAAATGAGCAGTGCTTGAGCTAACCTTAAACAAGTACCATAATTAAAGAGATTATAAATACACTTTCTCCTGATTCATTCAGTTGCATGCAAGTGTGTAGTTAATATAAAATTAAAACACTACAACCATATCAAAAGAAATGACAGAAGAAAAAAGGTTCACCTATAACCGTACCAGTCTGATACCACAAGTGAATAGACAGAAAATGAAACAAAGTAAATTGTTTCATTAGCAGCATTTTTCTTCTGAAGGAGAAAGGATGGGGGCATTGGGCTCAAGGATTCAACCTTCTCCCACATCCCCTTTTCATCTTTCCAGGGCATTTGGAGAGTAAGGGTTAGTGTTAGTGCTTTGCATAAGATCTCACAGCAAATTCTTGATGGTGCTTGGCAAAAACACTATGATGGTTAATTTTATGTGTCAACTTGGCTGGCGCAGAGTGCCCAGATATTTGGTCAAACATTATTTTGGTGTTTCTGGTGAGGGTGTTTTTAGATGAGATTAACATTTAAATTGGTTGACTTTTAGTAAAGCTGATTGCATTCCATAACGTCTGGTGGGCCTTACCAATCACCTGAAGGTCTGCATAGAACAAAAAGCTGACCTCCCCCAAGTAGGAAGGAATCCTGCTAGCAGACAGCTTTCACACTTGAGCTGCAATATCTGTTCTTCCCTGGGTCTCCAGCCTGTTGACTCAGCCTGTACATTTTGGACTTGCCAGCTTCCATCACATGAATATTCCTTAAACTCTCTCTGTCTCTCTCTGTCTCTGTCTCTCTCTCTCTACACACACACACACACACACACACACACACACACACACACACACACATCCTCTTGCTTCTGTTTCGTTGGAGAACCCTGACTTAATATAGATATAAAGCAAGATGAACCTTACACAACAGGGTAAGATTCTTTAAGCCATTTCCCCACTCCACAACAAAGAACACACACACTCACAGATGTAAGTTTGTTTTTTTTGTTGTTCATTTGTTTTTTTTTTGAGACAAGGTCTTGCTCTATTGCCCAGACTAGAGTCCAGTGGTGTCATCATAGCTCACAGGAACCTCAAACTCCTGGGCTCAAGCAATTCTCCTGCCTCAACCTCCCAAAATGTTAGGATTACAGGTGTGTGCCACCATGCCTGACCACAGACATGACTTTTAAGCTGAGACAGGAGCCTTGAATATTTAAAGACATTGGCTGGTAGAATGGCTATCAGAATTTTGCACCCCTACCCTGCTAGGAGCCAAAAAGCTGGGTTGAGTCCCCTTCCCACTGCTTGCTGGCTGGGGCCCCCAACTGACTCATTCAATTTCTCTCAGCCTTGGTTTCTTCTAAAAATTGAAAGCACTTTGTAAACACTGCTATATAACATCTGATACTATTTCTACTTACCATATTTCTTAAAATAACAGCTAACATTTGAGGACTTTATATGTGCCCAGCTTTGTGCCAAGCACATATATTAATATTATCTCATTTAATCTGTCCAACAACCCCATAAGCTGAGTAGCAGTATGTCTCCATATTTCAAACGAAGAAACTGAGATTTAGAGAAGTTAAGCCAGTTGCCCGGGTTACACACATGGGATGCAGCAGAGCTGAGATCTACACCTGGGTCTTTCAGAACTAGGGAATGTTCTCCCTAATGAATAAATGCAAAACTGTGAGGAGTTATTTAACTGTTTTAAGTTCTGATATTCTTCTATGTTCCATGGGATACCTATCTCCTAGGCCTGTTGTGAGAATTCAAGGAATAACATTTGGGAATGACATCTAGCCCAGTGTGTGGTATGTACTCAAAGAATGTGATAAGAATTTCTATTGTAGGCACCTGTTATGAACTGAATATATGTGTCCTTCCAAAATTCATATATTGAAACCCTAACCTCCAATGTGATGGTATTAGGAGGTAAGGCCTCACAGAAGTGATTGGCTCATGAATGAAATTGATGTCCTCATAAAAAGACACAAGAGCTTGCTCTGTCTCTTTGCTCTCTGCCATGTGAGGACACAGCAAGAATTCCTGGTTTCCATCTTCAAACCAGTAGTAGGGCCCTCGCTAGGCACCAGATCTGCTGGCACCTTGATCTTGGACTTCCTGGCCTCCAAAACTGTGAGAAATAAATTTCTGTTATCTAAGCCACCCAGTCTATACAGCTCGAGCTAAGGCAATACCCCACATCCCAAAACACCAGCCCCTTTGCACAGAGGATAATCTAAGCCCACGAGCTAATAAAGGAAGCAGCCAGATTTGCTGGAAATCAATGGCCAATCTGCCATGGTTATCAAAACCTTGTTTTAAGATATATTCTTCCTGAAGAGTTAATGATTGTACAAATTTTATGTTAAGTCTTTTAATATGTTAAGTAAATATCCTATTCTTGAATATTTGTATGAGAAGTCTAAAATATTCTACAAAGTTTTTGACAAATCAGTCCTTAAAATGCTGATGAAAAATATCTCTCATTTGAAATATATCTCATATTTTAAAACTATAGCTATAAGACTACTGTATTAGTGTGTTAGGGCTGCCATACCAGAGTACCATAGACTGGTGGCTTAAACAACAGAAATGTATTTTCTCACAGTCCTGGAGACCAGAGGTTCAAGATCAAGGTGTTAGCAGGGTTGGTTTCTTCTGAGGCCTCTCTGCTAGGCTTATAGACAGCGGCCTTCAGCCTTCGTCTCCAGCATGTGCTCTTCCCTCTGTGTGTATCTGTGTCCAATCTCCTCTTCTAAGGACACCAGCCATGTTGGATTAGGGTCCACCCTGATGCCTAACCTCATTTTAACTTAATTACCTCTTTATTTTTATTTTTTTGAGACAGAGTCTCACTTTGTGGCTCAAGCTAGAGTGAGTGCCGTGGTGTCAGCCTAGCTCACAGCAACCTCAATCTTCTGGGCTCAAACGATCCTACTGCCTCAGCCTTCCGAGCAGCTGGGACTACAGGCATGCGCCACTATGCCTGGCTAATTTTTTGTATATATATTTTTAGTTGGTCAATTAGTTTCTTTCTATTTTTAGTAGAGGTGGGGTCTCACTCAGGCTGGTTTTGAACTCCTGACCTTGAGCGATCCACCCGCCTCGGCCTCCCAGAGTGCTAGGATTACAGGCGTGAGCCACCACCCCAGCCCTTAATTACCTCTTTAAAGGCCCTATCTCCATATACAATCACATTCTGAGGCACTGGGGTTAGGACTTCAACATATAAAGAAGGGCCGGGGGTAGGGGGAGACACAATTAAGCCCATAAGAAATATATATTAAGCTGTCTATGAATATATGTTTATCAACTATTTTCATAATAGAAATATATTCCTGTTTATCGGATATATTCAGAATCACTGAGTACTCATGAAACATACATTTATATTCACTGAATATATTTCAGAAAATATGCACATGAATGTATTCATACAGAGAGTACTCACTGAAACAAGCTTTTGATAAACTGGTTATTTTGGTAAACTTGACAAGTTGGTCATATGGTGAATTGATGCTTTGTTGAATTGTCTCTCTGAGGATTAGCACTTGGGCAAATTGATCTGGAGGTTTTGAAATACTCATGCGAACCAAAATCTAACCATACCTCCCTCCAAGAATATCACCCTGCTCCCTGAGAGACAGAAGCACACAAAGCCACCGGCACCTATGGAAACTACCAGCAATTAGTTCAAGGTTAGCCAGCAAAGGACGCTATGAGGGAAGGAGGGAGAACTTCAGAACTTGGGGAAGGCCACCTGGGCAGAGTGTACCCTGGAGGCCTCAGGATCCTGATACATGGGGTGTGGGACGGAAGATGGCCCCAGAGATAATTCCCATTTCCCCCAACTCTGCACTGCTTTCTCCCCCAGTCAGGTCACACGGCTATTTCTGTGTCACAGACGCCACTTCCAAATGACCCAGCAATGGATCAAGTCCCCTCCTTCATCATTTAACAGTGAAAACTAAAGGACATTAGTGGTGAACTCCTTTATCTTTCACAACTATGTCCAAATTTAGCTACACCTCTTCCCTCCCTCCCTCCTTCCATCTTTTCCTTCTTCCTTCCCTCCATAAGTCCTGTTGAAGAGGTGACCCTCTTCTTTTCAGAATCAGTTCATCTGCCCTGCTCTGGTTCCCGTTCCTTCCCTCCAGCCTCCCTGCACCTCACAGCCCCCTCTTCTCTTCAATCACAGCCTCCCTCCCAATGTGCTTCTGTGAGCCCTTCAACCCTTGTTCTCTTGCCTTGTTCCCACCAAACTTTGTGAGATAAGTTAGTACTCTCACGTTCTCCACTCTTTGCCTCACTTTGCATTCATGTCTACTCATTTTTGTATGGGTAAAGGAAAAGACAGTTGGAGTCATTAATGAACTGGATAACCAAATATTCCTCAAGCAATAAGTACAAGATGCAAAGAAGATGCTGCTCTTGTCTTCGAGGAGAGAGCCGTGGAATTAACGAGACAAGATAGAATCAAAAAGTCAATAGAGGCACATCATGGACAAACAGGACAGAATCTTTAAAATGGAGGCATCTGGGGATAAACAGCTTCCCCAACCCCCAGGCTTATGTGACCAATAAAATCCCAGTAAAATCACAGGTGTAAGGACCAACTACTGGGTCACAACTGGGGATTTACACAAAATGAGTGTAATGGGACCCTCTTTGGTTGAAGATGGACAGTACACAGGACTTCCTGAGCAGGAGTTACTAAGGCTGGAACCTGGTCCTGGCCTTCCCTGGCTGTGCACGCACCCCACTTCTCCAGCTATGAGCGGAGGGGCCGTGGTCTGGGGACACAGGGTGTGCAGGAATCTCAGGGGGATCTTCTGCACTCTCTGCCCATTGTCTTCTGTTACTGTCACGGCCTTGCCCTGCCAGCAAGCCGCAGAACTTCCTCTCTGAGCATGGGCGGCTGAGAGGAAACATCAGTGGGTCCCTGCCACCGAGCGCTCCCTGGGGAGTCCTGTCCCACGGGCCAGGCTCCATGAGGCCTTGACATCCTGGGAGCCCAGTGTCCCCCGCCTGCCTGAGTCTCCACAGCAGGGCTTCTCGAGGGCTGGGCTGCTTTAAATCAAGTCCTGGAGCTCCCACAAATCAAAGCAGCATTTACAGCCTGCCGTGGAAGACCCGCAGCCCTAATTTCTCTCAGAAACAATGAAATAAGAGCCGAAGAGTCCTTTCATTTGATAAGTTGAAGGAGTCAAAGGAAACACGTGTGCAAACCAGGTCACTCCTCTATGCTCTAGCAATAAGAGTAATAATAAAAAGTATTTATAAAATGCTCGGCATGTCCCAGGCTCTGTCCTTTCAGGAACTGGCTCCTGTGCATGACTGTGGGCAGCTGGTCTCCGGAGCACCTGCCACAGGGCCTGGCCCACTGAAAGCAAATAAAGACAGATAGTGACTCCCTGTCTCTGGTCATCTTCTATGATAAGAGTGAGGGGGAAATATTGGTAAGATCTGGTCCAGGATCAACCAGGGGCTACGAAAGTCTGGGAGACCAAGGAGAGCCGATTCATCAGCTGTCTCCACTCCCTTCTGTGGGGCTCGTGCAGAGAGGGAGCTGCTATGAACAGCCAGCCCGCAGTCCTGGAGAACCGACTGTTTTCAAACGCAGCATGCTGGCCGAGAAGGGGGAAGATGGCATCGAGCCTGTTGTCAACCGTGAGCACCACCACAGGAACTCACATTCCCATCCAGCTTCCAAATTGACACTTGGCTCTTGCATCCCTTTTTCTCTCTGAGCATGCTAAGAATATATCCAGACTCTAACCATCTATCACCATCTCTGCATCCTAAGAACCTGTGGGTGGACAGAACAAATGTCACCACCACCACCACCACCATCAGCCCTCTCTTACAGATGGAGGAACAGACCCTCACCAAGGGACCTGCCAGAGAACTCACTAGTCAACAGCAGAGGCGGGAGGTCAACCTTCACCTCCTGGCTTCTATCTAGTCCAGGAAGTTTCCACCAAGTTATGCTGAGGGAAATCTTTAATCAGGGAGGGACACAGTGACCTCCAGGCGGTCTGTGTGGCCACTCTCCTAATCACGATCAATACTTGGCATCGATTGTTTGGAGAAGTGGTAGCAAAATACCCACAGAGGAATCAGAGTCAAGGGAAATCCTCATGGTTGGAGAAGTGTTTCGGGGGGATCCCCAAGTTCCTAAGCAGGGGAGCATCAACAGGCAGAGCCCTGGGCTCTCTCTTTACAGAATCCCACTTGCCAGGGACCTCAGGGACCTCATGGAAGTGTGGCAAATAATGCTTTTTGTTGTTCTCGCTGCAGAGTAATAGTCATGTTTTTCAAGGCTATCTGGAAAGTTATGCCTGTGCTCTGGAGACATTAGTGAGAAAAATAAAGCCATAGATTCCTCCAGCCTTTTATCAATTAATTACAAACCTACTTACAGCCTTCACCCTTTCTCTCTCTCTCTCTCTCTCACACACACACACACACACACATGCCCTACTCTGCTCATATTTCACAGGTCTGGACAGAGATATTTATCTGAATGCAAAGCTCTGAATTGCTAAGTGGCAATATTAGCTTGGGTCTTGTGTTAGCCCTGATCACATTAAGCAAGATCACATAAGGCAGCACACTTCTATCCATTTTGACAGTCCTGAGGCCATCCATATACAATCCCAGCATTTAATCTGGTTTCCTATTGGTTGGTAATTTAATTCTCCTACAACTGCAGCCAATCATCTGTCAATCATCAAAGCTGCCTTTAAGATCAACTTAGGACCCTCCTGTGGGATCAATAAATGAACTGTTGTCTTATGTCTTTGAAGAGTTAGACCCTGTGAGAATCAGGGATCACTCTGGAAAGGTTGGAAATAAATTCATGGTCTTATTTTAGATATATTTTTTTCTCAATCTGGTTTCAGAATGCTGTCACAGTGTAGGACCTCAGGCATCCTATACAATAAATCACAATTTCTAAAACTATCCTACCAATTGGAATAAATGATGTGACTATAAATTGGTTGTATGTATAGTTTCACATCTGGTAATATATAAAAAAGTGAGCTCACCTCAAGCTTTTCAAATACTTTGACTGCTCTGGAGTATTACACCTAATATCTGGCAAAATGTATATTGTATCTATAACATCTATACCCCAAGTGTCATCTCTGCCCTCATTCCAGGGCCCCTCTCCTGGTACATAATGGGAATGGGGACGTCTTATCTTGTACCTCTCCTGAGTGGCCCACGCAGTGCGGATGCCTCCCTGCCCCTTCCAACTCCACCCTGTCCACCTCGTGAGCCCTCCCTGCTGCTCCCAGACCCGTCCCCATCTAGAGGATGCTGCCCCCTTCTTTTGGGCCCCTTAGAGGGTAGCATATGTTTCCACATCGGCCTCTCTCTTCATTTCCTGCCACCCCACCTAGACTGTGCCCGGGTGTCAGATTATCCTGAAAGCTGGGTAACTAAATGAATTACAATAGAAGAGGAAAAAATTAAAACTCTACTCTAAACATGGGCTTCCCCATAGTCTAAGAGAAAAGCAGCAAAAAAGCATCTCCAGGGTCTACACTTGCTCTCCATATCTCAAACCTCACTGCCCAAGTACCTCTCCTAATGCATGTTATAACTCTCCCTCTACTTCTCAGGCACCTTCATAACCGGGGGCAGCCCCAGAACCTACACCCCCATGTAAGCAATTCATTTTCTCAGCTCTTTGAGTTATTCCCTCCAAATAATGGTCCCTTGGTGGGGATGGAAAGGTGGAGGCTGAAACATCTTCTGGGTGCAAAGAGGGTAGATTTGCTTTGTTAATACATTTAAGCCAAACCACTCCCACAATAGGTTTTTGTTTCTTTACTTTTGCTTTCTGACTAGTTTTACAATGTTTACTTTTGTAGTTTGATAGGTTAAGATCTCCACAGTAATGATCAGCAACACTATTCTAGGAAGCTTCTAGATCGACTAAGGTGATCTGGTAGGTAATATGGACAAAATGCAAAGTTAAAAAGCAGATTAAATCCTGGGGAAAATAGTGTTTGGGAAGGATCTTTAGAGTAGGGTTTCATGGGCAGAAAGGTTTGAAGGCTCTACCAGATAGGAACTGATCCACTGCAAGGGAGAGAAACCTAACCCTAAACCAGCAGAACAAAGTTAACTAGGTTATATAACTGTTGAGTCCAGGGGGTGCAGCTGGCTTCTGGCATAGCTGGCTTCAGAGGCTCAAACTGAATCATCAGGACAGTGTCCTGTTTTCTCTTTTTGCTTCTAGATTCTGCTTTCCTCTGTGTTGACTCTTTTTCTTGGGCATCTCAGGGCTTACTTTATCTTAGCACTAGCTACTTCAGAAAATAAGAAGTGCCTTTTATCCAGGAGGCTTCTGTGGGTTAGTTTGGGCCCTGAGACTCAAGTTTCTTCTTAACCTGGCAGGCTACTGGGAGTCAAGCAGAATGATGAAAAGCATGGAACTCCAGTTAGGAGAGTGCTCACCGCTATTGTTTGCACAGATAAGTGTGCACAGATATTGGAAGTGGGGAGGCTATTAGAGGAGCAAAAGTTAAAGGGAATGAGGCCTGACCTGAGGCCATGGCAGTAAAAATGGAAAGAGGAGGAAGGCTATGAGAGAACCCAGCAGAGAGGGCTTATAGGGTACGCTGATTTTTACATAGACGCAGGAGGAATTAACAATGGTAAGAGAATGGTGATTCCATTAGCAAAACAACGATGTGAGGCAGAAGAGTATTTTTGCAGAAACTTTACTAAGAAATGGACATACTATTGGTTGGGCAAGCAAAGGAATCTATCAGGCAGGCAGCTCAGGAGGAAAGGCCAGAGCTTAAGAGAGGGGTCCAAGCCAGAGGTCCAGATAGGAGGTGTCTACAATAAACTTGTAGTTGGAATCATGAAAATTGCAACTGTGATCTACGAAGGAGCGAGGTGAGCGGACAAAAGAGATAGCTCTAGGGAATTGCAAGTTAGGCAACATAAAAGGAAAAGGAACCAAGAATGATGACTGAGAAGGAGCGACAAGATGCTGGGCAGAGGGAGAAAGTCAAATAGGAGGGGAGTTCCAGTCCCAAAAGAAAAACAATTAGGCCACCAAGTTAAACACTCCTATCTCCAGTGTTGGTTCTGTATTTTAAATTTCATATTCTCCTCATTTCTCTTCACAAGTGAACTCATAATCAGAGGCCAATGAGCAGCCATTGAGAATAAAACTGTACTTTCTGAGTACCAGTGATTTCCATCCTGATCTAAGTTGTATTGAGACCCAATCTCCTCAGCATCAGTAAGAATGTGCTCTTTTTGAGGTCTTCTCTTATTTCTCTAGACTGAGGGCCAGTTATTGAAAGCGCTGCCAAGTACTGCTGTGCAAACACAGCACTGCTGCAGACAACGAGGCTGCGACCAGCAGGCAGCATCACTGTGTTGACTTGGGGCCAGACACACAACATCTAAACTTGGCACATGAAAGACAGGTTAGAAGTCAAAGTGTATGAAGTATGCAATAGGAGCTGTATGGCCATAAATATATTTAAATTGAGAACTCCTTGTCCCTAAAGATAGAGGAGAAAACATTTAAAGATTTCACCTTTTGGGGTACTTTTCTAGTCATTTCTTGAATTTTGGTACTTCCCAGGGTTTTACCTGGGACCTTTTCTCAACCTATAGATTTGAGGTGATCTATAAGACCTCATATTTCACTAATCACTCTCTCTTCTATCCACAAACCTGTATATCATCCTCCCTCAGTATCTATGGGTGATTAGTTCTGGGAACCCCTGTGGATACTGAAATCCAGATGTTCAAGTCCCTGATACAAAATGGTATAGTATTTGTATATAACCTACACACACATCCTCCCATACACTTTAAATGATCTCTAGATTACATATAATATCTAACACAATGTAAATGCTATGTACATTGCTGTTATACTGTATTGTTTAGGAAGCAATGAGAAGAATAAAAAGGTCTGCACATGTTTAGCACAGACATATCCACTTTTTTCCCAAATATTTTCAATCTGTGGTTGGTTGAAACCCACAGAACCCACAGATATGGAGGGCCAATTGTATTTAGCTGCCTGTTACATATAGCTAACCAGGGTTGCATGGTTATTAGGGCTGGGTACTGCAAAGAGTGCCACTGAAAGGGGACATCATTTACATCATAGATATTATTACTGTTTTGAACTTAAAGCAAAAAATTAAAATCATAACTGTTAATTCCAAATTTATAGATTTGTACACAGGACAATTTTCTGGCAGATGGCAGTAAAGTCTCTAGTTCTAATAAGACAACTCTTTTCCAAATGAAAGTGTGTGTGTGTGTGTGTGTGTGTGTGTGTGTGTGTGTGTGTTTTAAAGGGATACTTTCTGATGTGTACAAGCACACTATGTGGGCTTTGGAGGCCTTGACTGTCAGGATGTTCCATGGGTACCTACACGATTAGTGTCTCTAGTCTGGTCCAGCTCTGCAGTGATGCTCAAGTCCATCCCTCCCTCTCCATTCCCACTGCTACTGCCTGAGTTCAGACCTCACTCCCCAATCCCCAATATCTCCTGCCTGGCTATTGTTAATGCTTCCTTCCTGACCTCTTTACCTCATGTCTTAACCTTCTCCAGCCCACCTTCCAAACTGCTTGCAGAATAATCTTTCTAAAATGATTTGACCAACTGACTTACCTGCTTAAAGTATTACATTATCCTCTCATTGCCTACAGAATTCAGTTTACACTCCAAGCTACAGCATACAGACTCTCCATGTTCTTCCCCTGCCCTCTTGCCTAGCAGTCATTTCCTACACACACCCTATGCTCCAAAAACACTGAAACCACAGTTGATGCTGTTGCATGTATTTGTCTAGAAGACCTGCCAGGCCGTCCAGTGGATTTCAATTCATCCTTCAAAAATCAACAGTCTCCTCATGAAATCTCCCCTGATCAACTCAGGCACAACTGACCATGCCCTCCTTTGCTCTGCTGCTGCAGTTAGCTGACTACTGTACTTCTCCCAGAGTTGCAATTACTAATGATGGATAAGTGAGCAGCTTAAAGGTATGAAATCAATCTTATTGATTTATTTGCCTCTAACAGCCCTGATACTGAGCACAGTGCCTGTTGATTGCACTGAAAGGGTGAATAAATGTGCTGAATGTTCCAGAGTAGTCACAGAGGGTGGATCTGATAATGAGGATCTTTTACACCAGGTGTTGTTAGACTCTTTACACATAAGACTTTAGCTCTGAATTAACCGTGGAGAAACTTTAACAGCAAAAAGTCCTATTTCATTTGATGTCCCTTTATAGTATTTTGAGGAGTCTCCAGGAACTTTTCTGCTAAGCTTTTCCTGCTCTCTCTGTGGCCTCCACTAGTCTGCTGCATTGAGACCTTTGTGTTTTCAAAAGGGGACTATTTCTTTGGGTTTTTTTTTGTACTATATTTTTCTGGGAAGTACCCAAACAGTAATGCCCTATACATTATCGATGCTTTACAGGATTTTTTTGATAAGAGCAACCTCCCGATTCTCTATCCCTGTGACTTCTTACTCTCTTCCTGTGATGAAGGTGGAGTGTAAGAGGAGATGAAGTCTGAGTGGAATGTAAATGACAGGCACACTGCTAAACTTGGAATCCTTCCTTATTATTATTATTTTATTTTTAGAGGCAGAGTCTTGCTCCGTCATCCAGATTGGACTCATGGGCTCAAGCGATCCTCCTGCTTCAGCCTCCTGAGTAGCTGGGACCATGGGTGTGTGCCCCCACACCTGGCTATTTATTTTTATTTTTTGTAGAGATGGGGTCTTGCTATGTTGTCCAAGCTAGTCTCGAACTCATGGTCTCAAGAGATTTTCCCACCTTGGCCTCTCAAAATACTGGGATTAAGGCGTGAGCCACTGCGAGTAGCCTCCTTCTTTTCTAACAATGAGGGTTTTGTTTGTTTTTCCTGGACCACTTATGTGTCATTTACTTAGGATGGTTTCTTGTACACCTCTCTGGTTTGCAAAAGCTTTCCAGTCTGAATTCTCAGAATGAACAGTACAGGCTTAAGCTGGGGAGAATACTTCCTTACACATGGTCCCCAAACATTATCTAGTTTAGCCATCACCACAATGTTAATCAGTAGATATCATTCTCATTTTATAGAAAGGGAAACTAACATTCAGAGAGTTTAACTTGCCCAAGAACATACAGCTAGATTAGGTGGTAATCAGATGAGCCATTTTCTCTTAAGAGAAAAACAGACTGTTCACGCTTGGGTGCATAAAGGGAAGGTGATCAGATTTATAACTGAACTGGTGCTGTCTTCCAGAGCTAATTGGGAATTCTGTTCTTATTGGCCACACTATGCCTCTCCTGATCTCTCCTGTTCCTTGGACTCTCAGGTTAACAATTAGACATTTATGAACCAGGGACAAAGGATAACAGACTGAATGTGGTGTTGGATATATGCTTGAGAGCAAGAGTTTTGAACAATTTTTTAAAAAAAATTTGTAACAAGATTGAGAAAGAAGATAGCTATTTAAAAGCACATTATTGTTCCTACATTCATAAATGCCACTGAAATCCAAAAACATTCTCTGGTTAAACATTTATTATTTGTGGGAGTGTGAAACTTGTTTTTCCTGTTTTTAAGTTTCAAGAAACCAGTCCTATGTTCTAAATGAATTATTTGCCATGAGATTATTCTTTGTACTGATTGTGAATGCAAGTGCAAAGCTTCTCATCTAAGCTTTGGCTAAAACATGTTATTTATATTTTGTAGCACCTTAATATGCAGCTGTACTGTATATGCAGTACAAACAGGTTTTCAGGACACATTCCTTACAAGAACAAGGTCAAGTATTGAATGTAGACACATGGGACTGTTTGTACTGTCTACATATAACTCTGGCAATGATTTGTCCAAGCAATGATGAACCAAAACATGGACCTGGAACTCACACTGTTAATGCTTAGATTTCAGTAAATTAACAAATCAGAATTAAGTAAAAATTACTCCAGAGTGTTTAAAAGCACTGACCCATCAAGAGTTTAACAGACTGCCAGTGGCACCTCATTAGAGCTAATAACCTGAAAGAAATGTGCTAACTACTCAAACATTGAAGCCTACAAGAGTTGCATCTAGGCCTTCTCTTTTTCAAGTCTTAATTTTGCTTTGCAAGGAAGAAATATTGTTTTCAACCTTGTGAAAATTAAAAAACGTGAATTGATTCATCAAAATAAGTTAATGTATTACAGGTAATATACAAAGGTTTCTAAAAATGAAGACCATCTATTTAGTATTCACAATTTTTTACATCAATTGAAAACAAAAAGGCCTTGAAAGTTTAACATAATGCAGTAAAAGAAAAAAAATGTGCCACTTTACACTGGCTGATGGGGAAGCAGATACAATGCAAGGCTCTCGCATTTTTGTCTGTTGGTAAAGATACAGTCAGATAGCCTGAGGAATTAGTTAAGCCTTGCAACCCACCACATGCACTTATTATTACACAGTAAAAGATCATTTACACAGGAAGCAACTGCTACAAAAGTACTTTAAAGAGTCATTTTTCTCTTTTAAAGTTAGTAAATCTAAACTCTGAAAATATTGTTATGCGGTTAGATCAAGTCCCAGATTTCAGAAAAACTACTTTCTACTGTACCTCAATTACCTGTGACCTAACTGGTTTTGGTTTTAACAGAGATAAGAACCACAGAAGGAAGCATTGGCTAAGGGTCCAAGGAATGTTCATCTTGGAGCTCCAGCCAGCGAACCCAGGCTCCCATATTTAGAAATGAGGATTTCCTCCTTGCCTATTAGCCTTTGAATGCTCATGGCACTTGCTTTTGCACCATAAAAAAAAATAAAGATCTTTGTTCCACCATTTTTTCTTTTAAAATTGCATACTTGTTCATATAATAGTACATGCTGTGGAACAATGTTCTCAACTTCCCCCAGCCCAGCTGCCATTCCCACCATTACGGAGGAGGAATGTTTACACACATGCCATACTCTCAAAAAAATGCAGATTTCACACTGCAACACAGATAAAATTGATGTGCATTGCGGACATTTTCTAAGTCCCTACCTGTAATTCTACCCCTATTATATTAATAATCACATCTACTGACTACTTACTATGTGCCTAAGTGCACTGCATTTATTAAACTAATTTAATCCCTATAGCAACCTATGAGGTAGATACTATTATGATTCTTACCTTACATATGAGGAAACTGAGGCACAGACAGTAAGTAACTTCAAGGTCACACAGCTAGTAAATGGCAGAACTGGGATCCAAACATAGATAATCTGGTCTCAGGGCCTGTGTTCTGACACTGTTTTCAGAATGCAAGTGAGAAAAACAGTATCATAGAATAATTTGTTCTAACTATTTCTAAGTCTATTATTTGCAAATTGTAGTATTTTGTTATTAATAATTATTTAGCATGTATCTCACAAATTGATGGGGCTCACTAGGTATTCACAGAACTCCATTAACACATTGAGAACTTAAGACAATGTCTTAAATGACCCTAAATACCTAACAGTTTAAACTTAATTAGTAAAAATGGTTCGAGAGTTCATTGTTTTCCTACCCATGATTTGCAAAGTAAAAACCTTACTTTCCATTACTTAATTTTCAGTAAGATTTTACTGTCACTCTTTCCCCTGTATTTGTATTAGATTGAAGGTCTCTATGGTATGAAAACAGAATATACTTTTACAATGTTGACTGTCAATGAATCAAAACTCTCAAATCTTGATGTTTCCTGAGGAAAAAGAAAAGCCTAAAGTCAAATACCTGGCCTAAACTTACAGGATTGTGGGATAGCCAAAGACAGAGCTTCATTCTTCTGATGTAAAAACTACTACTTACGCTAGTGAGGAAGGAACACTGGTTTGAAAAACCAATTAAAACTAATTAGAAGCTTCAAGCACCTCAGATGTGAAAGTATGCATTATGTAAAAGATACTTTAAAGGTGAAATTAGTTTCAGAGCTTCACTTGAACTAATTTAGTCTTAAATGTCTCTCTCCCTCATAGAAGATATCAATAGCAGAAAAATGTTTTATGAATTGCAATTTATGTAGCTTTAGGAATGGTATACAAAAGGTGTAATGAAATGGACAGAAAAATAAACCAAATATAATTTTATGAGAAAAATATCCAGTTTCACTTATATTATCTTCTGAAAGTATTATCTTCTGAAAGTGAGTCATACTAGATAGGCTCATTTTTAAAAAAAATCTGATTTAGCTCACCTTTTAAAAGTGTGAATGCATTTCAGAAGATTCTATTTTAACTTTTCTATAAACTTTAATGACAAAGTGAAGTAATGCCATCTACAGGGGACCTTCAGAACAACAGTCTATTTCTATGACCCATACTTTTCTTTAAATTTAAATACAGTATCTATAATCTGAGTTAATATTTGGCATCATTTAACAAGGAAAAGGGTAAGAAAAATTATAAAAAGACATACCATATCAAAAATTTCCACTAACATTCTGCATTACTTCTTAAAATAATTTAAAATAGTCTAATTTCACTCTCAAGTTCACCCAACATATGATCCATGGATCATTGATATACAACTGTAGCAGATTAAGATGCAAAGCTATGCAACCTCAAAGACTTTTAAAGTTATAATTTAGTATATAGAAGAGATTCAAGTCATTGGACACTACATCTGCAATAATTTTCTGTTGAATCCCCCTTGAGTAGCATCACCTTTACCTTCTTGGCCAGATTCTCTAAACCTTCAGATATTTAGTCTATTTCGATTTCTAAAGCTCAGTCCTGTTTAACTCAAAATGCTTGGAATCCATAGCAGCACAATTCATAATTGCAAGGCTGTGGAAACAGCCCAAGTGCCCATCAATCCAAGAATGGATTAATAAAATGTGGTATATGTACCATGGATACTATTCAGCTCTAAGAAACAATGGTGATATAGCACATCTTATATTTTCCTGGTTAGAGCTGGAACCCATACTACTAAGTGAAGTATCCCAAAAATGAAAAAACAATCACCAGATATATTCTCCAGCAAACTGGTATTAACTGAGTAGCACCTAAGTGGACACATAGGTACTACAGTAATAGGTATTGGGCAGGTGGGAGGGGGAGGGGGGTGGGTATACATACATAATGAGTGAGATGTGCACCATCTGGGGATGGTCATGATGGAGACTCAGACTTTTGGGGGGAGGGGGAAATGGGCATTTATTGAAACCTTAAAATCTGTACCCCCATAATATGCCAAAAAAAAAAAAAAATGCTTGGAATCCAATGTGAAATATTTTATGAAAGTAAAGTCAAGGGGCATTTCAGGCCAAAGACCCCTAGAAGTAGAGTGAAAGGGGGAGGACATAAAAATTGGAGGAGGGTGAAAAGGCATCTGAAGAATCTAGGTGGACTATTATTAATTAGTCAATGTCAAATTTATTTTTACAAGTTCCATGTTATGGAACAAGCCAAAAAAGTGGTTACATTGATTCCACTATGCACTATAGCCTCCTTCTAATTACAAATAGTTTGCTTTTATACACTTTCTACTCTAACTCTCTTCCCCTTGGGAAGTAGCTGCTAAAAGTTTCCTTGTTGCAATGGCTCTCAATTTAGGCTTAAAATTCCACACTTCTGATTAAATTGGACTAAAATGAGGCCTGATCATGGGTTTTGTTTGCTTTTAACTTTCCAGGTGATCCCATGTGCAGCCTGGTTTGAGAAACACTGCCTTACTGTGGAGTTGCAACCCTTTCTCTAATTGGCTATTGCATTCTGATAAATGGTTTATAGGTTCCACTGTGCAGTGGGAACTCACACTCACCCACCCAGAGAAGCAGGGCTCATTCCTGGGCAGTTTCCCCAGGCACAGGAAGCCCTTTGAAATTTGAGTTAGCTCTATTCAGGCTGATCCCCAGCCAGTGGCATCACCTCATCTGTTGCACTTGCTTTATACCACACCCCCCTCCCCACCCACCCATGCTGCTGCATAAGTCTTCTAGCCCCCAACTCACGTTATCAACTCTCAGGCAGGCAGGGTGGATCTTCAATACCTCTCTGTCTCACAGTCCCCACAAAACCCTTCCAATTCTATCTCCATGCTCTGGAATAAAACAACAGATGAGCGAATCCACTGTTGGATAAGCACAAATCCAACCAGAAGGAAAAATGCTGATCTCCCATTCTTGCAAGCATCCTGAATTTTGAGTTACTTCCTCAGGCTTACCTCCTGAGGTTTCAGGATACAGATGCACCCTGTTCACTCCCCTCATGGGGGGAGCTCAAAGGACTAAATTACATTCTACAACACTGCACTCCTCTAAGAGAGGCGCTCCCAGGGGCCCCAGGCTATCTGCAGAACGGTGGTTGGTGATAGAGCCCGTTTTCTGAACTGACACCCCTCAATAAACCCTGCAGTTCTCTAGTCTGAGAATGTAGGGTGTGGCACCTTTTGACCCCAGCTTTCACCTTATTCCAGAACAGGAAAAATATCTCACTTGACTTTGTTAAAAATCACTTACCTCTAGTCAGTATCTTAGGTCAGTTCCCCAGAAGCACAGAGAGATGAATGTATGCAGGTAGTTTACTAAAAAGGTGATAAGGAGTGAGAATAGCAGGACAAGGAAGGGAAGTCAGGTGTGATTTCTGGCAAAATTGCATAGAGGCTGACTTCAGTCTGACTCTTCCAGGAAATTTTGGAGTGCAAGTTTCACTAGTCTAAGGTAAAAGAGCTGGGCTTTCATACAGTAAAGTCAAGGGGCTTTTCAGGCCACAGACCCTACAAAGTAGAGTGAAAGGGGGAGGACATAAAAATCGGAGGAGGGGCCAGGCGCGATGACTCACACCTGTAATCCTAGCACTCTGGGAGGCCGAGGCGGGAGGATCACTTGAGCTCAGGAGTTCGAGACCAGCCTGAGCAAGAGCGAGACCCCCGTGTCTACTAAAAATAGAAAGAAATTAAGTGGCCAACTAAAACTATATAGAAAAAATCAGCCAGGCCTGGTGGCACATGCCTGTAGTCCCAGCTACTCCGGAGGCTGAGGCAGGAGGATTACTTGAGCCCAGGAGTTTGAGGTTGCTGTGAGCTAGGCTGCTGCCATGGCACTCTAGCCTGGGCAGCAAAGTGAGACTCTGTCTGAAAAAAAAAAATCGGAGAAGGGTGAAAAGGCATCTGAGGAATCTAGGTGGACTACTATTAATATAATTGGTCAATGTCAAATTTATTTTTACAAGTTCCATGTTATGGAACAAGCCAGCAAAGTGGTCATTTGTCCTAAGATCTCACTAATAATAGCTAGTACTATCTGTAACTAACAAAGCATCATACATTTGGGTTAAACTAAACTGCTCATGAAATGCTAAGAGCAGTATGAACAAAATATTTTTAATAAGAACAGCAAAGCAAACTAAAGATTGAAGTAAGCCTGAAATGAAAAAACTGTTCTCTTGACTTTGACCCTTCATGTCTGAACTATAAGGTTACTTTTGCTCTTTCTGGAAAGCAGTCACCTGCTTTAGATGTTCATTTTCTTCAAAGCTATTTATGAAACATTCACAAAGTCACAGAGTCTCAAAAACAATATTTTATTAATAACATAAAATGTGCCATCTAGCACCAATGTCTGTAAATATCAGAATTCCACCCAGTAACTACCCTTTGGAACTGTTATGACTAAAGTCCTTGACAGATTAATCTACAAGAGCAGATAATTACCATGATGACGTAAAATAAGAGATGACACAGAATAAAAATTCATTTGATAAATGCATATAGAACTACATTTGTTGTTATTCAGAAAACCTTCCACTATTTCACATAAACAAGTTAATACCAGTGTTAATACCAGATTTTCCTGGCAGATATACCCGAAGAAAAATGCATGACCCACATAAACACGTAAGGACTGAAATTGGGTTTTCTGTTCTCCATTATCAAATGAAAAATTTTGTAAAGATACCTTTTGTTTCACCAATCTCCTGATTTATCTTATCTTCTTAGCAACTCACTACAATACAATTTACTATTTAAATCACATAGGTATGTATGGAGGAGGAAAAGAATAAAACTTTGGCCTATATAAGTATACAAGACTATTCCAGCTTTCTTTTTTAAAAAAGTAAAAGAACATTTAAGTATTAAAGATAGTTTTTTAAAAAATGAAGATACATGATAAAAACTATTGTGTAATTGTGTAAATAATGAAAACCTCTGTTTAAATTTATCTATTTTGAAGATGATGTAAGATTTACTGGTTTGAACTGATAACATTATTATATAATAATATCTCTCTCTAGAAATTTATCTCTAGTTTCCTGAAAATGTCAAAGTCAACCATACTGCTTCACTATTTTATTTTGGCAGACTTTAGCCTAACCTCAACACTAATTTTTATTTAAGTAACTGATTCCCAACATTTCATTTAGGCAGAACATGATGCTGAGCTAAGTAACCTAAGTTGATTTCAGGCCCATTGGCAGATAAGCAGACAGACATTTTTTCATATTGCAGGCAGCCCATGATGGTTGTCATCTATATATTCGATCTCTAGGGACATGCTGGAAAAATCTGTGAACACAATCTTCCCATGCTGTATTCACATGCTCCATTCACATCTTTAGCTTACCCAGGTTGTTAGAGGCTCGGGTAAGATGACTAAAGGTTTCACGATGGAAATTTCTATAAGAAAAAAATGGAAACTTACAAGATTGATTTTTTATTACTAGTTAAGTATTTACTGGATATTTAACACTAGGTAATATGCCTAGTAGTGGCCAAAATGCAATTAAAGTGAACAACCATGCATAATATTTAGAGATGGTTTTTAGCTGACAACTAAATAAAAAACAACAAACCAAAGGAAAAAAACAAATGCACTGGACATTATTAATTAAAAAATTTGTGTTTCAAAAGGCCCACTATCAGGCTGGGCACAGTGGCTCACGCCTGTAATCCTAACACTCTGAGAGGCCAAGACGGGAGGATTGTTTGAGCTCAGGAGTTTGAGACCAGCCTGAGCAAGAGCAAGACCCCATCTCTACTATACATAAAAAGAAATTAACCAAACAACTAAAAATAGAAAAAATTCACCAGGCACAGTGGTGTGTGCCTGTAGTCCCAGCTACCCGGGAGGCTGAGGCAGGAGGATCGCTTGAGCCCAGGAGTTTGAGGTTGCTGTGAGCTAGGCTGACGCCACGGCACCCTAGCCCAGGCAAGAGAATGAGACTGTCTCAAAAAAAAAAAAAAAGAAAAATAAAAAGAAACACACTATCCAAAAAAATGAAAAGACAACCCACACAATGGGAGAAAGTATTTGTAAATCATGTATCTGGTGTCTAGCATCCAGAATATATAAAGAACTCTTATAAAATCAAAATTAAAAAGACAACTCAATTTAAAAATGGGCAAGTATTTCCCCAAATAGATGAAAAGGTACCCAACATCATTAGTCATTAGAGAAATGAAAATAAAAACCCACAATGAGATACTGTATCACACCGAGATGGGTATAAGCAAAAAGACAGACAATAACAAGTATTGGTAAAGATATAGAGAAATTGGAACCCTCATACACTGCTGGTAGGAATGTAAAATAGTAGCTTTGGAATACAGTTTGACAATTCCTCCAAAAGTTAAACAGAGTTCCCATATAACCTAGCAATTCTACTCTAGGTATTAACACATATGCAAGAGATTTGAAAACATATGTTCACACAAAATCTCCTATATGAATGGTAGCATTATTCATCATAGTCAAAAAGTGAAGCAACTGAAATGCCATCAACTAATCAGTACATAAAGTGTAAAATATCCATACAAAGGAATATTATTCACCCATAAAACATAGTAAAGTGCTAATGCATACTACAACATGGATGAGGATGGTGAACACTGTGCTAAGTAAAAGAAGCCAAACACAAGAGGCCACACAGTATGTGATTTTATATATATGACATAGGCAGAATAGGCAAATCCATAGAGATTAGTGGTTGCCAGCAGATGGGGACAGTAGAGAGTGGATGGGCAGGGGCAGAGACTAGGGGATGACTGTTAATAGGCACAGGGTATCTTTTTGGGGTGATGAAAATGTTCAAAATTCAGAAAGTGTTGATGGTTTGTACAACTACATAAATATATTAAAAACCACCACATTGTACATTTTAAAAGGGTAAATATTATGGTATGTGAATCATATGTATTTTTTAAAAAGAAACGGTTCTTTGTAAAAAAAAATAGCTTTTATATTCAAGAAACTAAAAATCTTTATGCCTCAAAAAATTTTACTTTTAAAACTGTACAATAACTTCAGCTAAAACTACCTTAAAGCACAAAATACTTATTTTTCTTTGTCTCTCCAGCACCACACCACATTAGTTGATCTGAATTACTAATCCCATTGACCCCCATTTTTCCTTAGACTATAATACCTCATTCCCTAAAACTGTAAGTTATATTTGCTTTTAGCTAGAATTCATATAATCAGAATACTTCATCATGAACAAATTCATTCAAAGCAAAGATAATACAAACAAGTGGGGTCTTATTAAATTTAGCATCCTTAACTCATAAAATTTATCATGCCTTACATTTGTCACATATACACAAGGTGCTGGGGATACAAAAATGCATGATACAATTCTTCCCTTATTTCTACAGGCTCAAAATCTAAGTGTCACAGAGGCAACTTATATAAAATGTGTTTGTTATGCCAGGTAAAGAAAGCACCAAAAAAGGGGGAACATACATAAATTCTATTTAATTAGGTGCACTTTCTCTTTTATGGACAGATCTGCTTTTTGTTATATTTTGAGGCCAGGAATGGTGGCTCACGCCTGTAATTCTAGCACTCTGGGAGGCCAAGGCAGGCGGATCCTTTGAGCTCAGGAGTTTGAGACCAGCCTGAGCAAGAGCAAGACCCCGTCTCCACTAAAAATTAGAAAGAAATTAGCTGGACAACTAAAAATATACATAAAAAATTAGCCGGGCATGGTGGTGCATTCCTGTAGTCCCAACTACTTGGGAGGCTGAGGCAGTAGGATTGCTTGAGCCCAGGAGTTTGAGGTTACTGTGAGCTAGGCTGATGCCACAGCACTCTAGCCTGGGCAACAGAGTGAGACACTGTCTCAAAAAAAAAAAAAAAAAAAAAAATTGAATGATTGGAAAAAGTTCACAAAGTTTAGAACTGGTGCTTTAAAATGTCACAGAGATAAAAGAAACATATAAATAACTAAGTTACTAGTCTGAGGCAATGCCCAATGAAAAAGCTATATAAATTATAGCTGAAAAAGACCTTTAAAAGAGCAGCCTGCCTTATTTTAGAGCAAGAATCCAAGGCAAGATAGAATAACCAATCTCAATACTGAGAGTTAGTAACTGAGTCCAGTGAATCCTCATAGCTGTTTTTCCACATCAAAATCATGGCCTACAACATACATAAGCCCAGAGACAGTGGCAAGTTGATGAAACCTCCTCAGAGGATGAACTGTGAATGTATTTACCGATTTTTTCTTTCTGATGTATATAATATGAATATCTTCACTTCGATACTCTTCATCATGTTTTTCCAAAGGAATTTTTTCAAAGTCAAAGTCTAGTTGAAGCAGCTATAAATTTAAAAGAGATACACTTCAAATTCAATAATAACTGACCTATGGTGATAGAAGTCAGATATTGGTTACCTTTGGAGTAGTATTGACTGAGAAGGGGCCATGTAGGAGCCTTCTGAGATTCTGAAAATATTCTATATCTTTATGCTAGGTAGTAGTTACTTGGGTATATATACATGAAAAATTGAGCAGAGCACTTGATACATGTGCATTTTACGTGTTTTACGCAAATAAAAACTGTTGAACAACACAAAATTTTCATTATACTTAGTTTCAAAAGTTCACTAACATTTCATTCTTCAAACTCAACATAAAAATAAAAAGGCATTTTAGCATATATTATCAGAGGCGGTCATACCTGCTTTTCTCATTAAACCAAAGTAGTCCCTTCAGCAAACAAAACTGAAGGGCCAATTTACCCTCAAAAGGGATCACTCATTATACAATGGATTTCTGCCCATAAAAAGGGTTTGGATAACCACTAGAAGGGTGAAAGATACTAAAACTCCCAAGTATTGCTTTTGTAACTTCTAACTATTTCAAAATAAAAAATTTAAAAATGGGTTCATACAAGCAGAATGTTTTTCCCACCCCAAATTCCCAAAATATATTTGAACAGAGTCACACACTGCCTTCCTAAAGAGTAATCACTATACAGATTATAGAGTACTTACCTCAAAATATTTTTTTTCAATTTCTGGATTTTTTCCCATTGTTCGTTGTTCATAACAACATATAATACAAGTCTCAGATCCACTGAGATCTTTCAGGGTTTTCAGCAATGGCTCCAAAGACTATACAAAGAGAATATATTTTTTGTTTATGACTTAATCTGACACTAACTTTAACATGGGTTGGCTCAATGCTCATTATTTTAAAAAATGAATGATCTCCACAAAACTAAATAAACTGATATTTAAAAAAAATCATTCCAAGTCTAATAAATCTTGCACGGAACAATGAATTCTTTACGATGCAATTTAATTCGCAGTATCACAGTCAACACGCTAACATACAAACAGCTAAGAAAAAAAAGATGATCTTGGCTTTTTATAACAGATCTAAATGGAAAAATCCTTGAAAATTTTTACAGAAGCTTCTAGTAAATGCATATGACACTTTTCTCAACACGCTTCACAGGCCTATGTGTTAACCATGAGTGTGTATATACACACACAGTCCCTGGAGACTTTTATCTTTTCTTTATTGCATCAACTATAAGACAAACATCTCGAATTCAGAGATGTTAAAATGTGAAGAAACGTGTCTTTTAGAATCCGTGAAATACGGTTCATCTTCTAAAGGGAAGAGATTTCACTCACTGAGTACTTACCTCCTCATAGTATATGCAGTCGGCCATCAGTATGTAGTCTGGTGGAGAAGGAAAGTCTTCTATTTCTCCCCCCCTTAAAGATGACAAACAAGTATGTAAACTGTCGCTTAATAATTTGAAACATTCTTGTTTTATAAACAAGAACTGGAAAAGTCCCCTTCCATGCTTTTAATGAAACGCAATTTAAAGCAAACTATAAATCGGCATCTTAAAACAAGCTGAAAGCCATACAAACCATTTCAGTACCTTGGCTTGAACAGAACCGGTGACAAGATGTTTGTTCATATTAATATTCATCTTCAGCAAGTCTTGCAATTCCTCAAGATCGGTGACTACAACATCTGCCCTATAAAATAACGTCGGGGTGTAGGCAGAGTGCGGGAAGCCTGTAATCTGAGTTTCCCCAGTAATGAGGAACCCCCCTCTCTCCATCTCTTACCCGAGGGTAGCGGCCATGAGCCCCACGGCTCCGGTGCCCGAACCCAGCTCCAGCACCGACCGCCGGCTCAGCGCGTGGGCTCCGTCGCCAGAAAACCCGGGCGTTTCCAAGTATTTAGAAAGGACAATGGCAGCGTCCCAAACAACGCAACCCACGCCGCCGGAGCCGTGCTGCTGTAGTCGTAGCACCGTGCCATCCCGCTTCTCCAAAACTCGCACAAAGCTCCGCAGCGGGTCCTCCAACGAGGACTCCAGAGTAGCAGCCATCGCTGCCCAGCAACAGCATGCGGCGCGCGCCGTGGCGTCACATCCACGCGCGCGGCCCCGCCTCCCGAGGGGCCCACAGCTCCCTGCGGCCGGGTTGGTGCCACGGCGCGTGCGCGAGTTAACAAAGCCCGGAATGCAGCATTACCCGGGCGTGGCCGAGCGGTGGGTCAGCCGCTTCCGCTAGACGTTTGGCCGTGTCTCTCTGCCCTATATCGCACATTTGGCTTAGCAAACAGGTAGTTTAAATCACTTTACCAGACAAAACTAGTAAGTCTGCTCTTTAAAAAACAAAGCCAACCTCAGAGTGTTTTTACTTAGTTGGAGACAGATTCACACAGTGATTGGCCTTAAATCCAGGCAACTTCTAATATCCTACCAACGATGTCTATAGATGTCTATACTCCTCTTGAAGAATTTCCTATGCTCCTAGTTTATGCTCCTAGTTTTTGGTATGAATGCGTAGAAATAGTTGCTGGAAGCTTGCCGCTTGTGTTTAACAGTGAAGACAAAGTTATCCCTCTAAAATTAACATCATTTAAACTCTTTGGGATTACGGAATTTAAATCACTAATTATTGAAAATAATGTTTATCTACAGGATTCAACAATCTCCCTCTTTGTTCCTTATAATAAAAACACATATTTGAAAAGTTTTAAAAATTAAGACTGGGGTGATTTATTAATCTTGTTAAGAACTCTGATACAAAGCACAGTAAAAGGCCACAGACCAGTAAATAGACAACGTGGCTTTTGGCTACTTTACAACTGCTGCTACGACACTATCAGCAAAACATGCTTTCATTACTTTGAACGAAGGCGTCCAAATGGCAAATAAAAGTTTTACTCACTTCTTCTCTGATTAAAAATTTTAATAAAGCTTTAAGTATTTTCTGGTTTAAATATTACCAATCTAAAAAAAATACTTTTAAAAATTTCAGTTAACATGAGATTTATAGAGAAAGTTACTAGGTTTTGAAGGCAAGGCAGCTGGTTCCTATGCCATAAGAATTTCCTCTGAATTTATGAATTAGTAAAGTAGCAGATTGTATTATAGGCCTCAAGTCACTTAAATTTATATAGGTTATTAGCAGTATCTTTAAATATACAATATAAACAAAACTGTACATACATGGTATATTAACTTTGTTTTCCAAAACAATAGGCAATTCATTAGCTAAAGACACCGTAGTCTGCAAAAACAAAAGGCACATCTGAATGAGATACATGCCTTTTCTTCCATAATTGGGTTATGTAGTCTTTGTTTACATTTTGACAAAATATTTAATAATAAACACAGTGCATTCTATTATTTTCATTCTACTTTTCATTTTTGTCTTCAGCAGCAAATACTGGCATTTAAGACATGGCATTAAAGAGTTTAAGAACAGTTGGTGTTATTCACAATTCTCCTAGATGTAAAAACTATAAGTAAAAACCAGAAGATGGTCAAAGAGATTTAAAAATCAGTAACACCATACACCCTCTTCATTTGTGTAAATTCACTGCCTTAAAAAGGCATCTATTACTCAAATTTGAAAAATTCCACAAAAGCACTATCCCCTTTCAGTGCAATCAATGTCACTTTAAACCATATTTTAGCAGAGTCTACAGTGCAAATATAAATTCTTTATACTGGCCTTTTGGCAGCACTGAGGATCCAAGACAAGGCAATGCTACTGATCACCTGAGGATAATGGTGAAGGACTTCTGTATTTTTATTTTTCCAATTCTTAAAAGCTTATTTGATCAGTAGCATTTTTGTAAAAGCATTATTTGTAAAAAGTACTAAAATACTATGCTTTTTCTTTAATAAATTAAAAAAAAAACTTTACAAATACCATTCCAGTGTCAATGACTACATATGGCTAAGGTCATTGAGGAGTTTCTGCATTTTCTAGTAAAGGCAGTCTGTACAATGGGGGGTGCGAAAGCTCCCGTTTGTAAGTCTTTGGTGGCAGTTTTGGCAGGTGAGGGCTTGAATTCTGCCTTGGTGGAACAGGGGGAGCTGGAGGATGAGCAAGATTATTATGACTAGAACTGAGCACATAGCATCGTCGTGGTACTCTTGGAGAGGGTGTGCTAGGAGGAGTGCTTGGCGAGTTTGGACATGTACTAACATCTCTGAACCAGTCTGGATCTCTGTGAAGATGTCCCAGTGGAGGTGGCTGAAGATTAAATGGGCAATTTATAAAGTGTTCTGGAGGCCGAAGGGGAACTGGTGGAGGAGTATCAGGAAGAGGATCTCTTGGTGGTGGTGGAGGTGGACTATGCAGAGGCCCATCAAATGCACCAGTAGGAACAGGAACTCTGGGTTTTACTTTTGGAGGAGGAGGCTGTCTCGGTGGAATAGCAGGAGGGTCATCATCAGATTTCATATTTCCCTCAAAAAAAAAAAAGCAGAATTAAACTATACCTCCATTCTTTTGAAAATCTTGTAATAAAAAATTTTAAAAGATTGAAAAATTCTTATGTGTCAAGTTAAATCCAGAGGCTCAAGGTAGATTAATTTGGTTTAATTATCAGATATATGAGTAAATTACTCCTAATTTAATTCAGGGCTCAGTTTAACATTTTTATATATGAGGTGTTTTAATTGAAATGTTAGAACATAAAGCCTTGGGTTATCTTGCTTTGTGTATACATTTCAGAAATTTATGTATTTTAATTATAATAATAGGTAAGAAAATTAAAATAATATATAGCTTTGTAGACATGAAAGAACATGATATCAAGAGGACTTTAATGTCCAGCTTCTGCCTACTGAGCATCTACATCTACTTTCCCCAGTGATGCCCACAGTGGTAGATCTCTAAAGTGTGACCCAGGGACCACCAGCAGCAGCATCAGTAGGGAACCTGGTAGAAAAGCAGATTTTTGAGCCCCACCCTAGATCTACTGAATCAGAAACTCTCGGGGAGGGCCTCAACAATCGCTTTTCAGGTAATTCTGATACACCCTTAAATTTCAGAAGTACTGGTTGAAAGTTTGAAGAATATTGCAAATAACATCAAATTTCTTTCCATCTGTACCAGAAAGAAAATGTACTTCTGTGAATATGCCCAGCCTCTTTTCTAGGAAAGGTTTTTTTGAGGATTAAACAACTATTTAAAGTATTCTCAAATATAATCTAAATGTTGGAAAACCATAAAGGGTAGCCAAAATATAAGTGACAGACTATAAGACTGAGCACTATTTTGAAGATTTACAACTTTCACTAAGTTGAAGCAAACCTAAGTCCTGTTGACTACCTTGGAATTCGAAGCATCATGATCAAACTTTTTTCGAGGAGGAAGTGGAGGAGGAATCAGTGGCTCATCACTTAGTTTATGTAAATTACCACACGAACTGAAGAAAGACTCTGAGGGAAGAAAAAACTAGTTTAACCACAACTCACAGTGTAATTATAAAACAAAACTTCATCACAACTTGTGATCACTTCTGCGGTGGCATTCATCAAACTGTTGGTTTATCTATCTTCCCCATTAAACAAACTTTGAGGGCAGTGTGTATTTATTTTTGTATCTCTAATATCTAGCACAGTGCCTGCTATATGATAGATACTAAATGAAGGCATACAATTAAAATTAATAATGAAATTCTGCTCCCTGAAAAGCCTTTTAAAAATTTAAACAAAATAAAAACAAAACAAAACATGTTTGAATATACTAGTAACTTCCAGAGAAAGATCATCCTAATCGGAGAACAGAGATGTATTTTTGAAGCAGCTAGCACCAGGTACATTATTACACAGGTGATAAAACCTTCATATATAAAACCATAAGGTAGTGTCCTACCACATGACTCTTTCTCTTTGCAAGTCTCTCATTAATAACATACATGTTATGTAACTACATTAAAGGAAACTTATAAAATAATAAAATATTAGTGGGAAATTACCCCTAAACAGGTCAACCAGACATAGAATTAACACTATTTTCATTTTCTTTGCATTTTTAATACAATTTTTAAAAATCTGTAATATGGTCCAACCCCCCATTTGATCTCTCTCTATACACAATTATTATAAAGGCAGTTATCAGGTCTTATTTGTCATTATAATGAGAATGGGTACATAGAAGCTAGTTGGGAAAGAAGCTGATGAGTTCAATTTTAAACATTCTAAGTGAACTGCTTATGGGACATCCAACTAGAGATGACAAACTATTCCATGTGAAAAATTGCTGTCCTGATCATGTGACTCTGCAAGTTACCTCTCAGGGTACTCTTGGCTCTGGGGCCAATAGATAACACAACAGGTATGCCTAAGGCCGGACACGGTGGCTCACGTGTGTAATCCTAGCACTCTGGGAGGCGAGGCGGGCAGAATGCTCGAGGTCAGGAGTTTGAAACCAGCCTGAGCAAGAGCGAGACCTGTCTCTACTATAAATAGAAAGAAATTAACTGGCCAACTAATATATATAGAAAAAATTAGCCAGGCATGGTGGCGTGTGCCTGTAGTCCCAGCTACTTGGGAGGCTGAGGCAGGAGGATCGCTTAAGCCCAGGAGTTTGAGGTTGCTGTGAGCTAGGCTGACACCACGGCACTCACTGTAGCTTGGGCAACAAAGTGAGACTCTGTCTCAAAAAAACAAAAACAAAAACAAAACAGGTATGCCTATGAGGTACTGGCAGATGATGTGGGGAGGTTAGGCATTACATGCTGTGGATATACCCAGCATCCTTTACCCTGTCTTTGGGAGAACTCCTCTTGGTGGTGGTGAATCCATGCCATTTGGTATAGTCAGTTAATTGCCTATTGCACCTCAATTGCAGCTCAGAAGTGGGCATGCAACTCACTTTCTCACTTTCTTAACATGATCAGATTTTTATCTACCTCTCTTTCATGCATGCAGCCATGTGCTTCAAGGAAAGCGGACCTAACCCCTTGGCTCAGAGGATAAGGCCTGATTAGCAAAAATCAATCAGAGTAATCCCATTCCTTTAGCCATTGGTTTAACTGTATGTATGTGACTTAATTCAGAAAGAATGAAACTTGAAAGGGGATTTCCTGGGGGATACTGAAAAGGAAGCCCTTATTTTTTTAGAAAAGCACTCGGTCATTCTCTGCATCTCTGTACCTCATTTTCTCTATACTTGACTGAACAAAGACCCAAATAACCTTTACTGCTCTTGCAAGCACTCTTAGGACCTTGAAGGACAAAAGCCTTAGATGAAGCAGATAATCTGGACAAAAGAATGAAGAGTCAAAAAGAATCCCAGTTTTTAATAACATCATTGAGCCAAGAATCAACCAGTCTTAAAGCAGCCTTTGTCTAGACTTCCAATTATGTCAAAATGTTTTCTTATCATTTAAGCCAGTCCTAGATAGTAATAGACACACATACTCATGAAAGCAGAAAATATCTGAACGATGACCGGGCAGCTGTGAGAGTTTTTGAATCTGGATCTGACTCTCAAGTCACCACTTAACCACTATGTTATATTTTTCCATAGTAAGCACTCAATAACCCTTGCTGAAGTGTGAATACAATTTTATTTTCTAACAAGAGCATTTCTCTAAAAGATTACAGTTCTCATAAACATTTTATTTTGTTGTTTTTTTTTTTTTTTT